ATATAGCATTGGACTCCTGAAGAAGCTCATAAATGAAGTATTTTTACGCAATAAAGGGATTTGAGAGAGATTGTAGTAGCATTCTCAGGACACACAGTAAGAAACCAACAAAATGGCTTGGTTTGAGGTGGGTGGGTGGGAAATAAGTTAGCTCTAGCTGCAGAGCAGGAGTTAGGCTTTGGGAGCTCCTGGAGGCTGGGCAGGGACGGAGGGGCTGAAAGAATGAGGGTTGGACAAGAGCTGTCATAGCTTGCTGCAAGTAGAACGTTCAGCTCTCATAAACATTAACTCATTAAATCCTCAATAGGCCTTCAGTAGTGGTAGGGGATATCATTTATGTATGAGAAAATTAACATGGGGGGGGATTTAACCAAGGATTCACATCTGATAAAGCACAAAGGAACTCATGACTTCTAGAAACTGTGGTGGGATTCTATTATGCAGCTCCACCATTAGTGAGTGGGGTTAGAAGTTGTGACAAGAGAACAAGAAATTTTTAGTTTGGGGCTAAGTTGTAAAGGGTCCTTACTGAAGAATGTGGACTTTACCTCCTGGAGGTAATTGGCAACTCTCAGAGATGCAAGATTGGAGTAGGTTGGAGAGTCATAGTTTAGAGTCAGCAGGACCTTTGTGAGATCTGGTAGCTCACTAGGGAAATTAAAGAGTAGAGAGGCAAAACGAGGTACACGTTCTAGACCACACAGTTGAGTACTTCCTTCCTCATTTTCTTAGGGAAAAAAAAATTCAGGTCACATCAGAAAGTGATAGAATTTAAATCCTACCACAAATTGGGGATCTGTTGAACTATCAGCTACACTTGTGAGGTTTTTTTTTTTTGTTTGTTTGTTTTTATTTTTAAACTTTCTGGTTCACGTCACTTACATGCTGAAATAATTTAGTTTTTGTTTATTGTAGATGATGTCTATTGACATTTGCCTTATTGGAAATTAAAACATTAAAAAAAGAGATTTATCTTTATTTATTTATGCATACAAGAGCTGAGGTGTAGGCCAGAGGTGCATAATGGGCACCATACTAGGAGGTGAAGGGATCCACCACAGACAGAGCGGGGAGCAGAACAGGAAGATCTCCGAGATACACTGCTGAGGGGAGCAGCAGGGAGACAGGAGAGGTCTGCTGTGCCACGTGGGTCAGTTCCCTGGCCGGGGATCAAACTCTTGGCTGCAGTGGCTGCATATATCTTCATAGTGCTAAGATTTCTTGTGCCACCAGGGAGCTCCTCAAAATTAAAAATTACAATTTGAAGTTTTTGTTAATTTGTTTGACATACTATTTTTTTTAATGTAATAGGTTTTTGAGTTAAAACCAGTTTGAATTGGACTTTATCAAACCAGAAGCAATTATGAGTGCACCATCAAAAGTTGCTGGAGGGGAAAGACAGAAAAGTTGGAAACAAAGCACGGAGAATGTTTGAGTGGGTAGAGCTTAAGCATTTCACTTATTTGGGAAAGCCTATTTGGCTGTTTGTGACTGGGAGTCTTTAGCATACCTTTTAGGCATTTATATCTACAATCACATGAGACTACCTGAAGTATTGCTGATGACTGCAAACATGACTTTGAGGTCTGAGAACAGAAAGGTCAGTGATGACTATCAGTTAATACCAAGAGATTGAAGCGTGGTCCTTAGTGCTCACTATGGACCAAACCAGTTAGTAGCAAATAAACCAAAGACTACCTTGAAAGGGGCCATCTGCCTGTTTTAGCCAGGTGGCTTGTTTGTTAATTTCTTGTATTTGTCTGGGTACCAGAGATCTTGATGCAGGCCTAACAAGAAGGTATTTATTTACTGTGGTACAGGCAAATGATTTGTTCAGCCAATAAGTAATCTAAAGCAATTCTGCTATCTTAAATCATCTTAGCAAGAAATTAGGGGACTTTTGGTTATGCAGCTAAGGCCTTAGTGGTAGATTTAGCAATAATTGTCAGAATTCAGGAACACTGTCTCCATATGCTTTCACAGGGAGAAAAGCAAGTAGTGAAAAAGCAGAAGGAATAGAACTCATATTTGCAGATGAAGATCTTCATCTATGGTCTTAGGCAAGCAAGTAGTCCATCCCATGTCATCTGATTATGGGAGGAACCTCCCTAGTCAATTTTAATTTTAGATCTTAGCTGGTATGACAGAACTGATTTTTATTATTATTTTTTCTTTATAAGAGCTGATTTTTAAAACAAAAAATACTAGTGGGATGGGTGGCGTTGTCTTATCTGCTTGCATATATCTTTAATGTCTGGTTTAATAAGATAGCTAGGTTCTCATAACTACTTCTGTATTCAAAGTGACTAAATTTTTTTGTTTTCTGTGAAGCATAGGAAGACAATCTGGCTTCATAAAGATGTAATTGACGTAGGGAGTATGTCCCCTGAAAAGGAATGTGGGGGTCTCCGTGGTTCCTCAAACCACATTTAGGAATCTAAAGGCATGATCATTTTGTAAATTCAGACTTGGGGGAAAAAAAAAAAACCCAGGATATAGAGGGCTTATTACCTGGTATGGCATGATTCCATTTAAGAAATCATATGATGTCCTCTTCCCCCAACACACTCCCATTTGATGGAAGCAAAAACTGGTAGGCATGTTTTTGAATTGCCCAAACCTGGTAGAAAATCTGCATCCTGTATCTTTCCCCTTAACTCAAGCTTATGTACGTACTGTGTAGAAAGAAAAGATTATTAGCTACTAGCGGAAAGGAGAGGTTATTGGAAAATTGCTACCTGAGATAGATATTTTCTGATACATATTTTTGTTGTGATTCTTTAGTTTAAACAAAATTATGAAAATAAAAAAAATTAAGTAGACATATTGGGCATTTGGGCTTCTTTTGAGTTTAGTAGAACTGAAAAATATTTGAGTGTCTAAATTTGTGCCCCCATTTTGTTTCAGGGTATTTAAATCCATGGTATATTTAATAGACCATACTGGAGATTTACTTGTATTTAGGTTACATATCAAAATGTGAACTCAAAGGTTGTGTCATTTTATCACTTAATAATTCTTTTAAAACCTTTCCCCCTTTCTAGCTATCACTTCACATTGATCAGCAGTAATTCTGCCAGTTCAATTCTGCATCTTGTTTTAGAATTGGTGTGGTAGCAGGGAATTCAGCAAAAGCACGATGATCTTGATAACATACAGTTTCTATCACTATTTTTACTTTATTTAAAAATTACTGTCACCATTGATTCATCACCTTTCCATTTTTGTAATACAGACTTATGCAGAACTTTGTTTTTGTTGCCTCAGTAATAATTTTAATGGGCTCTTACCAATATTTGTTTCTTTACCACTATCAGTAAGAAATTTTAATTAATAGTATTATAATTTAAGTATTTCCCTTAATGGTTATTTTATGGCTCACTGGAACTTGCTAAGTCACAATATACTCTATTCTGTAGTTATCATAATGGTTTTGTGAATAATCTTGCTGGGATTATTTAAAAACATTTAACTATTTCCCAGGCTAAAATATTTCCCGGGTTACTTTTGTTAACACTTAATGTGAATGAAAATACTATGCTATTCAGTTAGTACTGGTAATACTATTGCTGAATGATCTAGGGGAAGTGTTCTTTTTATATAGGGGCAAGTGGAGGCCCAGTCATTGATAGGACACCTGACACTGTGACCTGCAGTCTATCCTCAGTCTTTTACCTGTGTCCTTTGTATCTTATAACTCAAATACCTCTTCTTGGCTCTTCTCGGCATCAAGCTACAGAAAGCTCTGATAACATAAGAAGTTTTAGCTAAATAAAAATGCTGTGAAATTCTTCGTGTTGGCATCCTGTTTTTTAAAAAAATAGTATTTATGTCTTTGTTTTAAATATTTGTCTCATGCTTGGAGTAGACTTTGTCAGCTGGGTGGCTATGAGGGCTGTAGTCTTGGAGCAAATAACAAAACTATTGGGTCTTTCTTTTAGGACTTGTGTGTAATGTGGATTAACCCCTTCATGTTATTTGCCTAGAAGATAAGGGCTTCCACAGCAGGGAGCCGGGCAGTGTGAAGCAGCATTTCCAAGTCTGTAAATAGCTTATTAATCTATTTGAGATTACTAAAAAAGAGCTTAAAACGATAGCAGTCTCACACATCTACAGAGAAGAGTCTTGTAATTCTCACACAGCTCTTAGGCATTTTAAACTTTTAAAAAATATCTCTCTAAACCTGACCACATGGTAATCTTTTCCTTTTTTCCAACTGTTTCCACCTTTGAGGATGGATTAAAGCGGAGAGTAATAAATTCAATTCTTTGACTCTTGTTTTCCACAAAGATAAAGGATCTAAATCTAATGACTCAAGTAACTTATATTTCCTCATTAGTCTTTGAGACATAAAATTACTTGTAATTTTAGATCTTTGTGTTTTCCTAAAAACTAATTTACCCCCGAGGAAGTAGTGGTGGTGATGGGATGGATCAGTGCTGTCACCAGTGTTGAATGCTGACATATTCTAAACTCTATAAATCTGTGGATTTATTTTACTAATTTTTAATCCTATGAGATAGGTACTATTCTTATTTCCATTTTACAGATGTGGAAACTGAGGCATAGTAAGCACTTAAGTGACTTGTCCAAAGATATATGTTGTTTGAGCCAAGATTTGAATTGAAATTTCTGAACCTAAAACTCATATATCTATTATTCTAGTTTTATTACTATCCTTATGTGACTTGCACTGGCTACTTTTAATTTCATTTGGGAAAAAAAATGTTCAAATTTTACACAGAAGGAAACACTTGTCTTCAGGAGGCAGGTATTGGGTGGTAAGAGACTGTTGTTACATTTGCTGCCACATTCCCAGGCCATGGCTGCCTTGTGTCATCCCTGCAGGTAGAGTGTGACAAGTGTGGAGAAGGTAGGGTGCTCAGAAATCCTACACCTAACATTTACACTTAATTATTATCAACTGTCAATGGTAAGTTTTGTACGCTATCTTTTTTGTTTGCCTTCTCACCGAAGTGTTTTTTTCCACCCATCTGCAGCAGTGATTCCAGCAGTAGTTCAAGTGATGATTCTCCAGCCCGATCAGTTCAGTCTGCAGCAGTCCCAGCACCCACTTCCCAGTTGCTTTCATCTCTGGAAAAAGATGAGCCCCGCAAAAGTTTCGGGATCAAAGTTCAGAATCTTCCAGTACGCTCTACAGGTAAAATTTTATATTCCTTTACTCTCCCCTCTGCTGCTGTTGCAGAATGAGAGACTGAGCAACTTGAACACTGAACTTGGTAGTGAAAACAAATTTTCTTTCTGTGGTTTATTAATATTTAATGCCATGTTAAGTAAGAGAAAACAAGTGGCCATTACAGCTTACAGTAATTTCTAGTTTGACAAAGATTACGTTGTTTCCTTAATAAGCACTTGCACGCACACATGATGCACATTTGCACACAGGTTATGTGGTTGGTGCATGCTCTCTAAAACATGGCTTATTTTTTAATGATGTGCTTTTTCTGGATTAAATTTTGTATTACTGGTGAAATTTGGTATGATGAAATTTCAGAAATACTGTTTTCAGTTAATTCTGTTGACCGAGAAGTCTGTGTTCTGTAAAGTAACTTTGCACATAAAATAATGCTAGGAAAGGCTTTTCAAAATATTAATATTTTAAATAAGGAAAGTCATGGGTAAATCTAGTTAAAAGCCACACTCCATTGTCTTTCTTTCACTTGTGATATTTTGAAGTTACCACAGTATACTATAATCCTCATGTTAGGCATGTTGTATATATAAACAGCTGCTAGTAGATGGTTAAGTCAACAAAGACCAGACTGAACAATTCCTAGCTAAGTACATTTCAGTCAGTGCTGACATTATTCATTAAAACAACCTGTAAAACTTACATATCAGGCTTGTGCATTAGAGAATTGAGACACAAATGTTGATGAAATTTTTATTTGAATTACTTGATACTTTGAGGTTGCATGGGGATAAAACTGACTTGTATTTCTGTACAACTTTAATTTTTATAATGAACCAGGTTAACTTAACATGACCCTCTGATGCTGTGATTCATCTCTAGAAAGCCTTTAACTTGTTTAGCATGTTACATTGCCACTTAACTATGGTTTTATCATGGACATGTTGCTTGGAAAGCTAGAAATACAGTTTTTTTTCCCTCAGGTCTCTGTTTTATGTATATATGTATATATGCAAATCCTTGCTATGAAGATTTTAATTTTCGTAATTGATAACAAATCCCCTTACAATATACTCTTGATTAAAGAAGTCACCAGTATTTTGCCATAACTTTCTTTATCTACCTATATTTTTTTTCTTTCCTGTTCTTGTTGCCTTTTTTTGGCCTAACACTTCTAAACTTAATCCCTGATTTACTTAGTCCTTTCATATTGATTTAAAGATAGATACTTTTGTAGCTGTTTGCAAAATATAAGGTCATTTTTCTGCAAGGCCACAATACCATTCTTACCTAACAAATATCAAACATATCTTCTAATACTCAGTTTATTTTCAGAATTACGCGATAGTCTCTGGAATCCCTTTTTAGAGCTATCTTACTTGCAAAAAAAACTTGTTAATAATCAGGCTAATGGTTAGTTTGTTTACTGAATTGTAACTAAATTAGAAAAATAAACAACTTGTTTTTGTTTGGGGATTTAGATACAAGCCTTAAAGATGGCCTTTTCCATGAGTTTAAGAAATTTGGAAAGGTGACTTCAGTGCAGATACATGGAACTTCCGAAGAGAGGTATGGTCTGGTATTCTTTCGGCAGCAAGAGGACCAAGAAAAAGCATTGACTGCATCAAAAGGAAAACTTTTCTTTGGCATGCAGATTGAAGTAACAGCATGGATAGGGCCAGGTAAGAGACTGGCAGCTAAGTAAGCAAGCCGTAGTGTAATCTGTGTTCCTGGAGGATATAATCTTGTCCTGAATGTGGGTGCTATTTCAGCTTTAATTATCGACATACTCTCTGTTTCCTATTTTAAAAAGTGATATACTTAATATTCAGCTTGGTAAAGTACATTGTTTTGGTTAGACAGGGTGAAGATTATTTTGTTTCTATAAAGGAGAAATGCTGCTTTGATAGTCTGAAAGTCAGGACTTAATCCCTTGTTGAGTCCTGCCTCCCAGAAGAGTTGAGTTGGTTGAGTTAAGTAGATGGTTCCTAGGAGAGTGACAGCAGAATTACCCCAAATTAGAAAGCAAACTATTTGTGACATTTGATTAGAAGAATTAGTTAGACCAGTTTTATTTCCATTATGCCTGATACTGAATCTGTTATTCTAGCTTCTGTGATCTTGAAAGATAGTTGAAAAAAAAAGAAAAAAAGTGAGTGCTACGTCTTGAGAATTTCAAGGGGACATTTTACCTGTTTGTATCTACCTGGTGAAGGCCTGTTGTGGAAGGCCTCAGCTAGCCTTTCTGGGAATGACGTGGGGCCATTGCTTCTCCTATTGCCTAAACACTTACAGTGCTTTTTCAAAATGCAGGCTCTTTGAGCATATAATGAGCTGGTTCAGAATTTGTATAGTGAAGTTTGGGAACTCCCAGTTTAGGGCCATTTGTGAGTAAATGTGTAGAGAAATGAAAAGAACACTAAAATTATGCAATTATATCCTGGTTCTAGGAGAGTTGAACTTTGACTAAGACTTGGAGTAGAATTTATTTGTTTTTTTTTTTAAAGACTTATTTATTTGTGCATACAGAACTGGGGTATAGGTCAGAGGTGTGGAGGGTGAGAGGATTCACCAGAGACAGAGTGGGAGCAGAACAAGACAGGCAGACTGACGAAGTACACAGCTGAGGGGAGCAGCAGGCAGGAAGGACAAGAGAGGTCTGCCACACCATATGGGTCAGTCAGCTCCCTGGCCAGGGATTGAACTCTGACGTGGCTAATAGCATAGTGCTGTGCTTTAACCCCATTGCGCTACCAGGGAGGGACAACTTGGAGTAGAATTTGTAGGATAAAACATAGCCTGTTTTCTTGGAGTATTAATTTTGTTTGACAGGAGGAAAAAAGCAATGTCTGGTAAGAATGTGTAAGTGTCATCTATCTATACAAGCACACTGCAAGTACATTGCAGATTTGGTTCTAAACCATTTCATTCAAGGGAAATATCACAATAAAGCAAGTCACACAATTTTTGTTTGTTTCCTAGTGCATATGAAAGTTACATTTATACTATAATATAGCAGGAATTTAAAGAGATACTGTATTTTCAAAACAGTTGTAGGTTATGCCTTACATGGCTTCCTCCAACAATTTTGAGAGGTATTACTAAATTAGACTGGATTAGGAGCAACCAAGGAGTTCTTAGTTAATGAATTTGGAATAGGTCAGAACTGACTTGGACAGGATTTAGAATGTCTTATAATTTATGTGAGTTTTTTTTTTTTTTAAAGATTTATTTATTTGTACATACAGAACTGGGGTACAGGCCAGAGGCTCAGGGGCGGTGAGAGGCTTCACCAGAGACAGAGTGGGGAGCAGAACAGGCAGATCGACGAAGTACACTGCTGAGGGGAGCAGCGGGCAGCAGGCGGGTCAGGAGAGGTCTTCCACGCCATGTGGTCTCCTCCGGGGCAGGCGGGATTTGAACTCATGCGGAAGTGGCTTTAGCTTCTCAGTGCAGTGCTTTAACCCGCTGCGCCACCAGGGAGGGCCTTATGTGAGTTTTTATGACCTTATATATTAAGTATTGAGTATATAATTCAGGGGGCTTAGCAATAGGTGATCCTCTGATCTCTAAGTGGTGGGGCGAGCTTGAGGTTTTTATCTTAAAAATGCATTTCATTTAATTAATTCGCACCCAGGAAGAAATTGGGCATTAACCACTGGCCAGTGAAGTTTGTTTAACAGGATATTTGAAAGCATTTGACTTAAGTATGGTGACTCAATTGGAATTATGCTCCTGAATGGGTTAGTCATAAATGACCTGCATTGAAGTATCTGAAATGTGTCTAAATCCAGGGAAGCCAGTTTTACAGATAAACAAGTACTTTATTATGCTAATACGCAACGGTAGACTACCCTATGGGTGAAATTGTTGGATAAAAGTTTTAGTGACATGTAATCTGGTCATGAAGATTGAATAGGTTACATGGGGAAAATGTACTTTTTATTCTTTGCTAAAGTGAATTTCCAGTTTTGAAAAATTATTGAACTATTTGGTGAAATAAATTGTAGATTTCAATAACTGTAAATCACACTTTATTCTTCTGAATTTGCCTTTTGGAACATAAACCTCAAGATACACATTTTTTTTCCTTTTCTTTAAATATTCTAAAATACCTGCCCTATATTAGTTTCAAGAAGACCTAGTTGAGCTTGAAATGAGATCTAACCCTTTGAGATATGCTGAAAATACAGAATTAGATGTTGGAGCCTTGGGCCATTTTCTGTTCATCTGACTCTGTGAAAGTATATACTCTGATGATACCAGCTAAAGCTTAGTTTAATAAACCAGAATTGGGAGCAAGATGTGTTCTCAAAAACTCAGAAGTTGTTTTTTATGCCATGTTGTTGTGAACATCAGAAATGTTCAGTGATAGGCACTAAATTTTGTTTTAGTCAAGTTGATTAAATACTAACATTTTTAGACGGCTTTGATTTACACTTTAGAAAAAATATTTGAGCTATATATTTTATATATATATATATATATATATATACACACACACACACACACATATAAATATATATATTTGTCATCACTGAAATGTCGATTGCTCCTTACCATGACCAGATTAATGCCCAGAGCCTCAGGGACAATCCATGGCTGGCTTCTGCATCAAGCCAGGGCTCTTGGTGATAAAAACAGAGAAATCTCAAGTCACTTAGTCTCCTTCTGTCTGCCTTTGGGAATTGTGCAGCACCATGTAAAGGTAAATCGTCAGTGGTGCTGCAGTCACTTTTCATACAGTTTTCTTGTATGTAAAAATATCTGCATTCAGACAGTTGGGTTAGTATGCTAAAAATAAATGTGAAATGCTAAATGTGGACAAGTAACTTAAATAATGCAGCTGGACTATTTTCAGCTGCGTTTTATATGTATTTCAGGTTATAGTTTTGTACATCACTTTGAGAGCCTGCTATGGATTTTGGAACCTAAGATTAGGGTAAAATAATTCCCTTTTTTGTTGGGTTATAAAGCTTATTTCTGTTTTAGTGGTTACTTAAAGAACAAATCAGCTTAGCAGGTTGAAAATCACTCTCCTTTATTTTTAAGATCAAACAAAGTGTTAACTTCCTCCTAATTTTAAAGGCAGATTTCTTCAGCCTTTGTATTCTACTTTTGCTTTGGAGTTAAGAAGCATCTAGTTCTGAAGGTGTGTATGATTTTTCCAGATTGTATCAGTGTTCAAGCCCACTCTTTCAAAGATTTAGTTTCTTAAATATTGATTTTCCCATTATATGTAAGTTCACATTAACACATGCTCTTTTTACTCTACCCTCATTGCACTTACAGAAACAGAAAGTGAAAATGAATTTCGTCCTTTGGATGAAAGGATAGATGAATTTCATCCCAAAGCAACAAGAACCCTCTTCATTGGCAACCTTGAGAAAACCACTACTTACCATGATCTTCGCAATATCTTCCAACGGTTTGGGGAAATTGTGGTATGTTGTTTTTTGACAATAAAACTTACAGATCTTTGACAAAATGTAAATAATAGTATAGATCATATTCAGAGAGATGACGGTTTTTCTCATTCGCCATGTTTTTAACTACTGCTGGAAGATATTCTGAGCAACTATTTTATGTGCATGTGTAAATGTATATGTCTTTATTTGTTTACAAATTTATTTTCCTATGCATTTTTCTTCCCTTTCTTTGTCCATTGGTGCTGGATATTTTTTTTTTTTTTAAAGATTTATTTATTCGTACAGAACTGGGGTACAGGCCAGAGATACGGAGGGTGAGAGGATTCACCAGAGACAGAGCAGGAAGCAGAACAGGCAGATCGACGAAGTACACTGCTGAGGGGAGCAGCGGGCGGGTCAGGAGAGGTCTGCCACGCCATGTGGTCACCTCCAGGGCAGGTGGGGATCGAACTCATGCGGAAGTGGCTTTAGTTTCTCAGTGCAGTGCTTTAACCCACTGCGCCACCAGGGAGGGCCGAGGTGCTGGATATTTTTAAGGTTGTCTCTAGTTCTGTGGGCTAAAGGAACATCACAGAGAAAGCATGTTTATAAGAAAGCAGCAGCACGCTAATGGATAACTGTTTATTGTGCTATCATTTGCACATTGCAGCCCCTGGTTGATTTGAATGTAGATATCGTATGCTGAAAGCTCAGTTCTATTTTGAAAATTTAATTAGAATCACATTTTATATTATGCAAGTCATTTTTCGAGTCAGAAATCAAAGGATTTTTCTATGCTCCATGACTCAAAACATGAGTTGGTTTTAATGGTTTGTTCAGAGTTTTGTGCCCTTGGGGATATCCTATTTTGTTTTGTGTTTGGAAAAATAGGGACTTTCTCTTTATATTGATAAAAAAAAATTGTGTTTGGAGAGTAAAACATGTTTTGGGTAGGAATAGCTGCTGTTAATCTTTCAGGTGTGTTTGTGTGTGTGTCCATTTGTCGCTCTTATCCATTGTTATACACGAATGCTCTACGAACAAGATCCTTAAGAATAAAACGTTTGTGGCTGGATCCTCCCTCGTGGTGCAGCAAGTGACTATTCACAGCTACTACAACATGAGTTTAATCCCCGGCCAGCGCGGTGACCCACATGACCTGACAGACCTCTTCTGACCCGCTTGCTGCTCCCCTCAGCAGTGTATTTCAGTGGATCTGCCTGTTCTGCCTCACTCTTATCTCTGATAAATCCTGTTACCTACCCCACCCCCCACCTTTGGCCTTTGACCTGTACCCCAGTTCTGTATGTATAAATAAATCTTTGAAGAATAAAACATTTTTGGTTAATTGAGACCTCATAGAGTTGTGGGGAGGGCAAGAGAGTGAAAGAGTGAAATGGTTGGTAGAAAGTAAAGAAAAAACTGAGAAATGACATTTTTAGAGATGTATAACAGCAAAACATTCATCTTTGATGTTCGTTTTAATTATTTTGAGTTGTGTTATTTTTTTTTTTT